ACCATTAACACTTAAATATAGGTTGATGTTGAACACCATTAACACTTAAATATAGGTTGATGTTAAACACCATTAACACTTAAATATAGGTTGATGTTGAACACCATTAACACGTAAGTATGGGTTGATGTTGAATGGATGGATAAAAATGCTGCATCAAAATCATTGGTTTAATTGTGCTTTATAGTAGTCAACAATTTAGTATCAAAGTACTGAGTATTTCTGCTAAAGTAATGACTATGCACTTGGTTGTACATGTGTATGTTAGAATCATCGTATTATGTTTTAATTTGTTTTTTAGTTTGAATCTTGAACAAAAGGAACTGTGCAGATCCCGAACTAAACTACTGACCTATCTTGATAGACTTTCAACATATGAGGTGAGTACAAGTATGTCTTCAGTGAAAATTGGCTGCAAATGACACTTGTTGCTCTGTTAGTAGCACATGTACTTACATAAAGAACAGAGGTGTGTCAATGATCTAGTATGTAATAAATAATACAATTAATGTGAGCATCTATTAGAGATGTGTTTCTGATAGAGCAACTGAAATATGGTATTGTAGAACAACTGATATTTTCATGTACATTTCAGGTTATTTTAGGCGGTCCTAGTGCAGCGGAAGAACATTTTGATCATAGTTTTTTTCGTAAATTTAGAAGTCAGAATATTGTAGAAACTGCTGTTGAGTACTCACAGGTATGTACACCATGACTGGATATTGAGATGTTTAACAATACATTAACAAACTAGTTTGAGTCTCATATGAGAAACTTATTCAAGGCCCTATTGGCTGACATTCAGTTTACATTTGCTAACATATGTGCACTGGTTGTGTGTTATAGGATGGTGATTGGAGAGCATTGGATGCTATTTTTACTTATCATGGTAGGTATACATCACTTCATAGATTGGCAATACTTGGAAATTTTCCAGAAACCATGTCACCATTTGAATATAGAGATTTACTACCAGAGGGAGGGTAAGTTTTTTGTCTTATTTAAATCCATTGAATGTAATATAAATATTTCACATTTAATTTATGTTTAGTATTAATTTTTTTAAATTTATATTTTTTCAAACATGACCACTGGATTGGATCGTTAAAATGAGCCGTATCACATATTATCTCTACTAGTATATCGTATATAAAATTGGAGTGTACATACATACATGCATGACAAAATCATTAAGTCCGTGTTTAACTAATCATATAACATACTATAAAATGATAACACCATAAAAGACATTTAAGAACATCTAACTTAGATGCTTAGTTCCCATGTTATTAAGGATAAAAAAGGGGAGTTGTTCTATGGCCGGACATACCTTTCTGCAACCATCAACTTGCAGGCATGTAATATGTACTCTCAAGTTGCACTGTCATTCTTACTATTCTGATCAGATTACTTGAAGACAATACAAATGTATTGAATTGGGAATATCCTTCAAGAAATAAAGACTGGTGTGAAGAAGATTTTTGTACATCTCAAATTAATCCACATCCAGAAGATTACGGAGCATTTCTCTATGAAGAAAATCCACACTTAGATAAATACAGGTAGCTAGAGTTTTTATTTTCTGTTTGGTTCAACTTTGGTTTTTTGGACATGATTTGTATGTGTTTCCTAGTTGTGGCATCAGTAGGCCAGCACACTGCGATGTCAGTAGGCCAGCACACTGTGACATCAGTAGGCCAGCACCCTATGACATCAGTAGGCCAGCACACTGCGATGTCAGTAGGCCAGCACACTGTGACATCAGTAGGCCAGCACACTGCGATGTCAGTAGGCCAGCACACTGCGATGTCAGTAGGCCAGCACACTGCGATGTCAGTAGGCCAGCACACAGCGATGTCAGTAGGCGAGCACACTGCGATGTCAGTAGGAGAGCACACTGCGATGTCAGTAGACCAGCACACTGCGATGTCAGTAGGCGAGCACACTGTGATGTCAGTAGGCGAGCACACTGCGATGTCAGTAGGCCAGCACACTGCGATGTCAGTAGGCCAGCACACTGCGATGTCAGTAGGCCAGCACACTGTG